TACAATCTACCTGTATTTCAGGGAGAGAGGGAGTGTTCAGCTCCCAGCTCATCCTCTATGGCTCTGATTGTGTCTGAAAGTGATGATATCTCTCTGCTCATCTCCTCAATCTTCAGAGCAGCCATCTTGGCCTCCTCTTCTTCCTTCATAGCAGCCATCTTGGCCTCCTCTTCTTCCTTCAGAGCAGCCATCTTGGCCTCCTCTTCATCCTTCAGAGCAGCCATCTTGGCCTCCTCGTTCATCCTTCAGAGCAGCCATCTTGGCCTCATTATCTTCTTCCTTCAGAGCAGCTATCTTGGCCTCATTATCTTCTTCCTTCAGAGCAGCTATCTTGGCCTCATTATCTTCTTCCTTCAGAGCAGCTATCTTGGCCTCCTCTTCTTCCTTCAGAGCAGCCATCTTGGCCTCCTCTTCTTCCTTCAGAGCAGCCATCTTGGCCTCCTCTTCATCCTTCAGAGCAGCCATCTTGGCCTCCTCTTCATCCTTCAGAGCAGCTATCTTGGCCTCATTATCTTCTTCCTTCAGAACAGCTATCTTGGCCTCATTATCTTCTTCCTTCAGAGCAGCTATCTTGGCCTCCTCTTCTTCCTTCAGAGCAGCCATCTTGGCCTCATTATCTTCTTCCTTCAGAGCAGCCAACTTGGCCACTTCCTCTCGTTGAAGCTGGTGAAGCTTCTCACACTCCTCCTTTATCTGCCTCTCGCTGTGTTTACACAGGCAAACCAATTATGAGCTTTTTTCCACTAATTGGTCTTTTGACCAATCAGATCAGGTGTGAAAAATATTTGATGTGAAAATATCTGATGTGATTGGTCAAAAAGACCAACACAAACAGCCCAATTCTGAGGTGCGTTCAGTTTGCTTGAACGTTTGCGGAACGGTTTGTACTCAACGACCCCTTTCCCCAAAACGTTATTGTACCTTCCTGAACAGACTTTGTACGTTTACTCATGTTTGGGGGGGGTGATGAGGTGTGGCTTGAAGCAATGAGTGATGTATTTAAAAAGGGCAGTCGCCATGCTGACAGAGAACCCCAAACCACAACTGTTTTACAACTGGTCGATCAGTACAGCACCGTTTCTGTTCAACTGAACGTAAAAACGTACTGAACGCAGCCCTAAATTGGGCTGCCTGTGAAAACACAGCCAATGTGTGCTGGGCCTGGTTCTGGAGACAGTGGAAGGAATATATTGAATATCTCATAATATTTATATAGGGTTATTGTTACCCGTCATAAAACTTTAATATCCTCGACTGGTGCAACATTCTGTTACAAATACACAGACCCTGGCATGGCACCACATCTTTACATTTACATCATTTAGCAGACAGGAGGATTACTGTTATCCTATTCCAGGTATTCCTTAAAGAGGTAGGGTTTCAAGTGTCTCCGGAAGGTGGTCAGTGACTCCGCTGTCCTGGCGTCGTGGGGGAGCTTGTTCCACCATTGGGGTGCCAGAGCAGCGAATAGCTTTGACTGGGCTGAGTGGGAACTGTGCTTCCGTAGAGGTAGGGGGGCCAGCAGGCCAGAGGTGGATGAACGTAGTGCCCTCGTTTGGGTGTAGGGTCTGATCAGAGCCTGAAGGTAAGGAGGTGCCGTTCCCCTCACAGCTCCGTAGGCAAGCACCATGGTCTTGTAGTAGATGCGAGCTTCAACTGGAAGCCAGTGGAGTGTGCGGAGGAGCGGGTTGACATGAGAGAACTTGGGAAGGTTGAACACCAGACGGGCTGCAGCGTTCTGGATGAGTTGTAGGGGTTTAATGGCACAGGCAGGGAGCCCAGCAGTAATTCAGACGGGAGATGACAAGTGCCTGGATTAGGACCCGTGCCGCTTCCTGTGTAAGGCAGGGTCGTACTCTGCGAATGTTGTAGAGCATGAACCTGCAGGATCGGGTCACCGCTTTGATGTTAGCGGAGAACGACAGGGTGTTGTCCAGGGTCACGCCAAGGTTCTTTGCACTCTGGGAGGAGGACACAATGGAGTTGTCAACCGTGATGGCGAGATCATGGAGCGGGCAGTCCTTCCCCGGGAGGAAGAGCAGCTCCGTCTTGCCGAGGTTCAGCTTGAGGTGGTGATCCGACATCCACACCGATATGTCTGCCAGAAATGCAGAGATGCGATTCGCCACCTGGTTATCAGAAGGGGGAAAGTAGGTTTGGCAGGTTTGGTCCTCCTTTAAACCTCCCACAAATGAACACATAAATAGATTCATGAATAAATAATTATATGATAATGAGTTGGTGTCAATCAAACATCTGTGGGTGGTATCTAACACACCATTGGTTGATCAATGTCACGGCACGTTGCTCTATTGCTTTTGCCTGACTCTGATGGTCCAAAAAGTAAAACAAATCTATACACATAATTGAGAGATTTACAACCGGTAGATAGCTACAGTAGCCCAGTTCTTCTGGCAAGTAGTATGGCTGCAATCAGGCGAGTGGTAGCCAGAGACTTGGCAACGCTGGCTAACGCTGCTGTAAACACTGCCTCTCCAGATGACCTGCTTTTCCGTGTGGAGGCATGCATCGAACCTGTTAAGTTCTTAACAATTTGGAGGAAGTTGGCTGACGACTTCACCAGAGTCCTGGTGCAGCAAATTTATATATTTATCAATTTATGTGCATTAATTTATTTATTCATGTATTTATCTATTTACGTGCACATTTAATTTCTAATTATGGCAGGTTTGGTCCTCCATACATCTTAGCAACATGATGCAATACTGATCTAAACATCACATTACTGATTCAATAAACCTTGAAGAAATACAGTGTTTACCATCAGCTCTGCTGATTTGTCACAGGTTTGTTTAACTTCATTAAATGACCTTTGACTTCTCCTGTAAGGGATTCAGGGCAGTCTGTAGTTACTCCTTACCGAGACAATTTCCGGACTCACTTGACAGGAGAAAGCATATCGGCAGGGATAACAGCACTTGATAGATTCTCAACCAATCAAATCAATAAGTTAAAATAATAGAATTGGAATATATTTTCAAATAGCTGTCTTTGTCTTACCTTGTTACGTGGTCCTCTGTAGCTCAGCTGGTAGAGCACGGCGCTTGTAACGCCAGGGTAGTGGGTTCGATCCCCGGGACCACCCATACGTAAAAAATTTATGCACACATGACTGTAAGTCGCTTTGGATAAAATCGTCTGCTAAATGGCATATTATGATCCTGTACAGCCTCATCTTACAGGGATGCAGTCATGAGATTAAAACAGACGGGCTGTTTCTCCCACAGACAGAAGAGCTGGAGTCTCTCACTGTGCAGACTGCAGAGCACCCTCAGCCCCTGCTGTCAGCCCTGTTGGATCTCTCACACAGGTTCTTTAGAGCCAGGTTAGGGTGAGGTAAATCGAATACAAAATGTTCTCCTACAAAATGGACATTCCCGAGATCCCAAGCGCTGCGGATGGCTACACGACAGGATGACAGGATCCTTGGCGACGTCACAGCACACAGGACAGGACAGGGGAGATCCTCCTCTGGGAGAGACGAACTGGAAGCCATTTTCTCACGCGATGTCACTCCCTGTGCTGGGATGTCCTCTGAAAGTCACTTTCCCTTTTAACAATTTCCAAAAGATAAGCTGCACTTGGGGAAAAAAATGAAGTTGCTGTTTTCCTTTAAATGTGTATATATATATATATATCTCTAACCATATGAATCCCAACAGAGCTGACTACTGGAAACGTTATCATTACGACACTGAACTACACTTTACCCTCAACAGGTGATTTGGGTAATGGTTTACAGACACAGTAAACCTGATCTGAAAGTTATCGGATGCAAGTAAAAGGTGATTTGTGACTTTCATAAGCGCGGTTCGGTGCTCTGGTCTAAAAGTAGCCTAAATCTGAATGTTTCATCTCTGTGTGCTGCCGGGCTACAGATTTCTAGAGCATTTTAGATAGGCCTATTTCAAACCTACCAATCCTATCATTGTTCAAGTCACGGGTGGATATTTGGTTGAGATTTGTTCACTGTCACCTTGTGGTTCATTGTTTTTCAATAACAATACATTAATGTATTATACATGCCAAGTATGTTTAGCTGTGTTTGTGTGTGTGCATGTGTGTGTGCGCATGTGTGCGCATGTGTGTGTGCATGCATGTGCATGTGTGTGTGTGCATGTGTGTGTATGCGCATGTGTGTGCATGTGCATGTGTGTGTGCATGTGTGTGCATGTGTGTGTGGCGCAAAGAAGCATATAGAAAATATATTTAAAACAGTTATAATGACCATATTATACATTTTGTAGTACAGCAAGAATACATATATACACTTAGTAGGCTACATACTGTAGTGTACATGAAATGATTGATGAATTAAGGTCACTAATTAATAAGGAACTCCCCACACCTGGTTGTCTAGGTCTTAACTGAAAGGAAAAACCAAAAACCTGCAGACACTCGGCCCTCCATGGAATGATTTTGACGCCCCTGACCAGGCCTATCAGAGGGCAAATTAAAGGTATTAATAAATTGCTTTTCAAATCTTCTCAGATCTCCACAAAATGCATAGGGCGTAGGGTGTAGGGGTCCATTTGGGATTGGACCTAGGTCTCACATCAGAACCACAGTCAACTCTGTGAGTCCTCCTGAGTGTAAGGCTGCAGATCTGCGGAAGACAAAAACAACAGAAGTCAGAAAGGAAAAATGGTGCGCTAAAATAATTGATCTAGAAAAGGTCAAATAGAAAACAAGATATATTGTGTCAACTGTATCTGAAAAGGTTCCTTGCTTCCTCCGTCCTTGTTTCCTCACAGCTCATCTGAGGAGGTCGTCCGAGGGAGGAATTGAGGAAACAAGGACAGAGGAAACATGGGGAAAATCTCGCACTTCCTTGATTGCTCACGTCTTCTCTCCTCACCTCCTTCCCATTGGCTCCCCTTTGACCTACCCCCTCTGACCTTCTAATCCAATGGGTTTTGAGAAGGAGGTGAGGGGAGAGAATGCGAGGAATCAAGGGAGTGCGATTGATTTTTTGACGGCTAGTAATAAACGTTTTCAGACCCACCCTGGGAAGTTAGGTGAGTGTTACCTGAGCGGTGGTACTCCACCCTGGTGAGGAAGAGTCCTTCTGGGGGTGATGTGAGGTTGTGTGGGTAGGCCTGAGAGTCCTGGGCCTCCAGTAGTTCTTTCACCCCAGAGACAGACATCTGTCCCTGGCCAACCGCCACCAGAGCCCCCGTCATCCTACGCACCTTTAATAAAGCAGAGGAGTAACACTGTCTGGGTTTACGTGCACCACTGATCCGCAATAATCATGTGTTATTTACCACGGTAACGACACCACTAACATTCACCACCAGATGGCAATCAGCACTCAAGTCACACAGGCTGGCGGTGAAGCTGGAATACAACGTACCTGTTTGTAGAGGAAGGATCTGCTTTTGAAGGTAAGCTCCCAGAACTGAATATCCCTGCAAGAGGACAACAGAACACAAAAACAGACATTTAAATACTGCAGAGAGAGACAGACAGAGACAAACAGAGACAGACAGAGACAGACTGACAGACACAAACAGAGACAGACAGAGACAGAGAGACAGAGACAAACAGAGAGACAGACAGACAGACACAATCAGAGAGACAGACAGAGACAGACAGAGACAGACAGACAAACAGAGAGACAGACAGACAGAGACAAACAGACAGTAAAACAACACCAGCAATGACATCATCGTACCACACCTCCAAGTCTGGAGGTATGAGAACCTATGTATCACAGTAAGGTAAAAATTGCCTTGAGACATTGTGTCAACATCACAGCAACAATCTCTGCTCTGGACTGATTGTCAGGTGTAATACTGTATCTGATGGACACGGGACTCCTAAAAATGGCTAAATGGTGGGTTTAGACTAATTACCTATTTCAGTGGTATTCCAGTGTTAGTCTCCAGGGAGAGAAAAATGGTGTGTGTGTGTGTGTTTGTGTGTGAACATTTAGTAAATGGTACCCATTAATTCATTATCTGATCTGCTTCCCGCTTGACCTGAATGCCAAGCGTCACATCTGGAGGAAACCTGGCACCATCCCTACGGTGAAGCATGGTGGTGGCAGCATCATACTGTGGGGATGTTTTTCAGCGGCAGGGACTGGGAGACTAGTCAGGATCGAGGGAAAGATGAACGGAGCAAAGTACAGAGAGATCCTTGATGAAAACCTGCTCCAGAGCGCTCAGGACCACAGACTGGGGCGAAGGTTCACCTTCAAACAGGACAATGACCCTAAGCACACAGCCAAGACAACGCAGGAGTGGCTTCGGGACAAGTCTCTGAATGTCCTTGAGTGGCCCAGCCAGAGCCCGGACTTGAACCCGATCTAACATTTCTAGAGAGACCTGAAAATAGCTGTGCAGCGACGCTCCCCATCCAACCTGACAGAGCTTGAGAGGATCTGCAGAGAAGAATGTGAGAAACTCCCCAAATACAGGTGTGCCAAGCTTGTAGCGTCATACCCAAGAAGACTCGAGGCTGTAATCGCTGCCAAAGTTGCTTCAACAAATTACTGAGTAAAGGGTCTGAATACTTATGTAAATGTAGTATTTCAGTTTTGTTTTTTTCATTTAAATTTGCACACATTTCTAATAACCTGTTTTTGCTTTGTCATTATGGGGTATTATGTGTAGATTGATGAGGGAAAAAAACGATTTACCGGTAATCCATTTTAGAATAAGGCTGTAACGTAACAAAATGTGGAAAAAGTCAAGGGGTCTGAATATTTCCCAATGCGCTGTATCTGATCTGATGGTCACAAGGACATGGGGCTCCTAAAAATGGCTAAATGGTGGGTTTAGACTAAATACCTATTTCAGTGGTATTCCAGTGTTAGTCTCCAGGGAGAGAAATGTGGTGCGTGTGCGTGTGTGCGTGTGTGTGTGTGTGTGTGTGTGTGTGCGTGCGTGCGTGCGTGCGTGCGCATGTAGTAATGGCGCCCATTCATTCATTATCTGATCCACTTCCCGCTCGCTGCTGTGAGTCATGTTTTGACTTAGTATAAACGTCAGCAGTCAGCCTCCTCTCTCTCTGTGTGTGACTCGGCTCTGCTGCCTTCTTCTCTCCCTGCAGACCAACACCGAAAGGAACACATGCACCCGCGGAACACCGTGTCGAATTTGGCCTTCGTTAGAATGCATAGTGCTGGGAGAATCCACCGGCACGTTCCTCACAGGGCTGGGAATTGGGCCAGGGACTTCACAATGCAATTTTATCACGATACTTAAGTGCCGATACGATATGTATTGCGATACTCACGATTCTATATGTATTGCGATACAATACTACTCACCACATGTCTTCTGCAGAGGGACAATAGAGAAAATAGCTATGTAAGTACTGGAGTTTTGGTGCAGGTGCAGCGAACTAGGGCAAAATAAATATTGCGATATTGTCAAAACGATTTACGATATATCGTCAAAGATAATATCCCGATATGCAACTGTATCGAGCCCCCCCCCCCCCCCGCCCATCACTAATTACTCATTGGCTTAATCGTCTTAAATCTACCAACCAATCATCTCCCACAACACCTTCCCCCCACGTGTCTTGGGCATCTCTGTTTACGTACAGCAGCTGAGCTGACTCCGTACTGCTCTGACTCGGGGCAGAACAGGCAGTTGCTGCTTCATTAAAACTCGTTCTTTGAGATAAAATAATGTTACTACAGTAGATACCTTATTGAAGGATCATTGCATTTATTATAGCACAAGCTGGTTAGCTTCTCTTTGGTTTCATATGAAGTGGCTGGCTCAGGCTTAGAGATATAATGGACAAGTGTTGGTGTACATTATCAAACGTCAGAAATACCGTTCCTTCAACCACTAAACTCCTTAGCTAGATGTACAATTGCGCAACTAAGACCTCCTTCGCAAAACCTCAACATTTCTTACAGACTTCTTGAGTTATGTTGAGTTATTCAGAATTGTTTTGTTAAGGGAGTACCCCACGGCTCCATCCTAGGCCCCACACTCTCTTTAATTTACATCAACAACACAGCTCAGGCAGTAGGAAGCTCTCTCATCCATTTATATGCAGATGATACAGTCTTATACTCAGCTGGCCCCGCCCAGGATTTTGTGTTAAACGCTCTACAACAAAGCTTTCTTAGTGTCCAACAAGCTTTCTCTGCCCTTAACCTTGTTCTGAACACCTCCAAAAACAAAGGTCATGTGGTTTGGTAAGAAGAATGCCCCTCTCCCCACCGGTGTGATTACTACCTCTGAGGGTTTAGAGCTTGAGGAAGTCACCTCATACGAGTCCTTGGGAGTACGGCTAGACGGTCCACTGGCCTTCTCTCAGCACATATCAAAGCTGCAGGCTAAGGTTAAATATAGACTTGGTTTCCTCTATCGTAATCGCTCCTCTTCCATCCCAGCTGCCAAACTAACCCTGATTCAGATGACCATCCTACCCATGCTAGATCACGGAGACGTAATTTATAGATCGGCAGGTAAGGGTGCTCTCGAGCGGCTAGATGTTCTTTACCATTCGGCCATCAGATTTGCCACCAACGCTCCTTACAGGACACATCACTGCACTCTATACTCCTCTGTAAACTGGTCATCTCTGTATACCCGTCACAAGACCCACTGGTTGAAGCTTATTTACAAAACCCTCTTAGGCCTCACTCCCCCCTATCTGAGATACCTACTGCAGCCCTCATCCTCCACATACAACACCCGTTCTGCCAGTCACATTCTGTTAAAGGTCCCCAAATCTCCTCTTTTCAGTTCTCTACAGCTAGCGACTGGAACGAGCTGCAAAAAACACTCACACTGGACAGTTTTATCGCCATCTCTTCATTCAAAGACTCAATCATGGACACTCTTACTGCCAGTTGTGGCTGCTTCGCCTGATGTGTTGTTGTCTCTACCTTCTTGCCCTTTGTGCTGTTGTCTGTTGCCCAGTAATGTTTGTCCCATGTTTTGTGCTGCTGCCATGTTGTGCTGCTGCCATGTTGTGTTGCTACCGTGTTGTGTTGATACCATGTTGTGTTGTCATGTGTTGCTAGTAGTTAGGTTTATGGTTTGGGTTACGGGTTAGGGTTATGGTTAGGGTTAGGTTCAGGGTTAGGGAAAATAGAACATTAATTGCAGGTCCCCAAGAGGATAGAAGAACATAACGTGTGTGTTTTATAACATGTTGACGCTGGCAAACTGAACACTGACAAATTGAATGGGAACAGGAATACAATTTAGAGGAGGTTTTATGTCAAAACTATTTCTCATCTGTTTCACATACTGCATCTGGATTACATTTACATTTTAGTTTTAAAAAATCATCTAGAACATCCAACGACATTCTAGAAGCTCCCCTCCTCTGGAACTCCTCCGGTCCTTGTGTAATCTCCTCCTGGCCTGTCCTGGCCTGGCCTGTCCTGGCCTGTCCTGGCCTGTCCTGTCCTACCCTGTCCTGTCTTACCCTGTCCTGTCCTGTCCTGTCTTACCCTGTCCTGTCCTACCCTGTCCTGTCCTGTCCTACCCTGTCCTACCCTGTCCTGGAATGAGATGTTGGATTTTGGAATGAGATGTTTCATGAAGGGCTATCGTCAGGGTACCTGTGGAAATGTCTTTGTACGAACGCATCCCCCAGGCTCCAAATTAGGGTCAGAGGTCAGGGGTTAGAGTTACCTGTGGAAGTGTCTGTGTACGAAGGCATCTCCGAGATCCAGACTGGCCTTGTCCAGGGTCTTCACCGGGTCTTTAAACGGTGTCTCAGAGTTCAGTGCTCTGAAGGAGCTGAAGTTATGGGTACCAACCAGCAGGGCGGCAGCGTCGCGCATCGCACCCACGTCCAGATCACTGTCAGGCAGAAGAGAGGGCAGGGGGCAGAGGGCATATGTTAAAAGGGTAAAGGTTAAGGGTTATATGTATGTTAATTCCTGAACATTTGGAATGAATGGACTGTTCTTAACACCTGAGAGACAGGTGAGTTGCTCCCAAAAGAGTGATGTGACTATCAATCAAATCAACTGAAAGGGGTCCAAAAGGTAACAGGTCAAAATAGGAGCTGGTGTTGTACTAGGGCTGACCCCATTTAGTCGACTGGTCGATAGGTTGGTCGATAGGTTGTTGGTCGACTGAGATTTCTTTAGTTGAGCAGTAGCAAAAAAAATATATATATAATAATATCATGGTGTACAAGACACCTGTCTGATTGGCTCCTGTCTGAGTGGACTGATCCATTGTGGAGGCCTGTCTGTGGACTGATCCATTGTGGAGGCCTGTCTGAGTGGACTGATCCATTGTGGAGGCCTGTCTGTGGACTGATCCATTGTGGAGGCCTGTCTGAGTGGACTGATCCATTGTGGAGGCCTGTCTGTGGACTGATCCATTGTGGAGGCCTGTCTCAGTGGACTGATCCATTGTGGAGGCCTGTCTGAGTGGACTGATCCATTGTGGAGGCCTGTCTGAGTGGACTGATCCATTGTGGAGGCCTGTCTGAGTGGACTGATCCATTGTGGAGGCCTGTCTGAGTGGACTGATCCATTGTGGAGGCCTGTCTGAGTGGACTGATCCATTGTGGAGGCCGTGGGGATGGCACAGTCCATCACTCTAAGACATGTGCTACTGAAATTGTATATGGTTATATTACATAAGAACAACGGTGCAACACTAATAAAAAGTATATTATTTTATAACAAATGCGCTTTCTCACATGTTGGATAGTGGTCGCTGTCCACGGTTCAGAAACACATCAGTGTGCTGTTGAATTGGCGCCTTTTCCTAGACCATGTTGCTATGGGCATAATAGCAAAGTTAACCAGCATATTGGTGGTTGAGAACAATGTCAGAGGCAGCAGCAGAATGAAGAGACGAGAAAACATCCCTCGCCTTATTGTCTAAGAAAAGTGAGGAGAGAAAACCAACTTAATTAGGTTCTATAATCAATAGCCTAACTGTTAAATGTGACTGGCTTTATAAATCAATAATATATCTACAGAAATAAGACAGATCCTGCTTCTGTTGCCTGCTACTGATTCCGCGAGCACCAAGCCTCACACAATAACATGTCAAGTAAACAATTTCACAAATTCGGCTGTTTTTAATCTTTGCTGTAATAAAGGCTTTATACTTTTGTTCTCGTTAGAAAATACCTCTCTGGTATTATTTATAATATTTTTAGGGTTGTTTACAGGGTTCCAAATTGTCAGAAAAATATTATTTACAATATTAATAATAATGCTCCTTCTTCTAGATCTCCTTCTTATTGTTATCATAATATTAATAAGTAATGTCTTTATTATTAGTAAACCATCGAGCTGAAGAGCGCATCCTGTTTAGTCTTAATACTGTAACTTAAGCTTAAGCTTATACAGTGCCTTCGGAAAGTATTCAGACCCCTTGACTTTTTCCACATTTTGTTAGGTTACAAGCTTATTCTAAAATTGATTAGATCTTTTTTCCCCCTCATCAATCTACACACAATACCCCATAATGACAAAGCAAAAAAATATTTTTTAGATTTTTTTGCTAATTTATAAAAATACATTAAAAACGGAAATATCACATTTACATAAGTATTCAGACCCTTTAATCTGCACTTTGTTGAGGCACCTTTGGCAGCGATTACAGGCTCGAGTCTTCTTGAGTATGACACTACAAGCTTGGCACACCTGTATTTGAGGAGTTTCTCCAATTCTTCTCTGTAGATCCTCTCAAGCTCTGTCAGGTTGGATGGGGAGCGTCGCTGCACAGCTATTTTCAGGTCTCTCCAGAGATGTTTGATCGGGTTCAAGTCCGGGCCCTGGCTGGGCCACTCAAGGACATTCAGAGACTTGTCCCGAAGCCACTCCTGCGTTGTCTTGGCTGTGTGCTTAGGGTCGTTGTCCTGTTGGAAGGTGAACCTTCGCCCCAGTCTGAGGTCCTGAGCGCTCTGGAGCAGGTTTTCATCAAGTATCTCTCTGTACTTTGCTCCGATCATCTTTACCTCGATCCTGACTCGTCTCCCAGTCCCTGCCGCTGAAAAACATCCCCACAGCATGATGCTGCAACCACCATGCTTCACCGTAGTGATGGTGCCAGGTTTCTTCCAGACATGACGCTTGGCATTCAGGACAAAGCATTCAATCTTGGTTTCATCAGACCAGAGAATCTTGTTTCTCATGGTCAGAGAGTCTTTAGGTGACTTTTGGCAAACTCCAAGCGGGCTGTCATGTGCCTTTTACTGAGGAGTGGCTTCCGTCTGGCCACACTACCATAAAGGCCTGATTGGTGGAGTGCTGCAGAGATGGCTGTCTTTATGGAAGGTTCTCCCATCTCAACAGAGGAACTCTAGAGCTCTGTCAGTGACCATCGGGTTCTTCGTCACCTGCCTGACCAAGGCCCTTCTCCCCCGATTGCTCAGTTTGGCCGGGCGGCCAGCTCTAGGAAGAGTCTTGGTGGTTTCAAACTTCTTCCATTTAAGAATGATGGAGGCCACTGTGTTCTTGGGGACCTTCAATGCAGCAGACATTTTTTGGTACACTTTCCCAGATCTGTGCCTTGACACAATCCTGTCTCGGAGCTCTATGGACAATTCCTTGACCTCATGGCTTAGTTTTTGCTCTGACATGCACTGTCAACTGTGGGACCTTATATAGACAGGTGTGTGCCTTTCCAAATCATGTCCAATCATTTGAATTTACCACAGGTGGACTCCAATCAAGTTGTAGAAACATCTCAAGGATGATCAATGGAAACAGGATGCACCTGAGCTCAATTTCGAGTATGATAGCAAAGGATCTGAATACTTACGTAAATAAGGCATCTGTTTTTTATTTTTAATACATTTGCAAAAAATTCTAAAAACCTGTTTTCACTTCGTCATTATGGGGAATTATGTTTAGATTTTTTATTTATTTAATCCATATTAGAATAAGGCTGTAACGTAACAAAATGTGGAAAAGGTCAAGGGGTCTGAATACTTTCCGAATGCACTGTATTTCAATACGCATATAGGCTACTGTCTCAATCAATTATTCATTCGTTCATGTCTTCACACAGCATACGAGTCATTCACGATTTGAAATCCAATTTTAGTTTAAAAATAACATAAAAACGAGCCTTGAATAATTAGCTTAAACGATAAATAAACCGCTACATTTCAGAAATCACGAATGAATGTGACTGTTTTTAGTCTTTGCTGTAATAAAGGTTTTACAAAAAAACAAATCAAATTGGACAACAGACTCTCTGCTCCACTTAAATACATTATATTGTTGTTTACATTGTTCCAAACGGTCATAAAAAGGTACATTGTAATCTATACAGCACCTGTTTGGCACACATTATATGCACGCAGCGCTTGCTCCTGACCTTATTTTTCTTGATCTCCAACTAGTCAAATTTATCCCACACATCTGACGGTCCCTTTCCCTCCTGAGCAACCAGAAAACATTCCCCCGTTTCGAGTTTATTAGTCACGTCCTCTGCATCCATTTTGCTGGTCACGTGTGTTACAGTGTTCAGTGTTTGTTATAAACAATGTATTGATGTGATTATGATATGCTATAGGTCAGGCCCTATTGGGACGGGATTAGTTTTACTGGGGGATGTGGGGTAATGTAATTATGTGCACGAGCACAAAACACCAGATCTGTCATTTTAGTCCCTTCCGAATCTGCCGTGGCAGTAATTTTTACATGGCAGGAGAATAACAATTCCAGCCAGAAAAACCTACTGTTTTTTTTGGCGAACTCCAAGGTCCTCTGATAAAACTAGTTCCGTGCGAATCGGCATCCATGTGTTTTGAGAAAAATGTCTGAGTTTGACCAGGTGTTGCTTGTGGTTTGCGCAAGAAGACAATAACTGATTAGATCAATTTAACTAAGTGCTGCGCATAAACTATATATAAAGGGCCTACATGTAGCCTAGCAACACAGTGAATGCTTTTGTTTATATGTTTTGTGCGTATGAATTGAATATTGCCAAATGCATCATAAAAAAATATCGAGCCTATTTAATGCAACCCTTGCTGTTAATAGATCACAAAGCAGCAGCATACAACTGACCTAAACGTTTTGAAAATGCTAACTTAACTTTCTCATCCATGGCCTTAAAATGCATCTCAAGTGCACTTGTACTATTGACAGTGGGGGGAAAAAAGTATTTAGTCAGCCACCAATTGTGCAAGTTCTCCCACTTAAAAAGATGAGAGAGGCCTGTAATTTTCATCATAGGTACACGTCAACTATGACAGACAAATTGAGGAAAAAAAATCCAGAAAATCACATTGTAGGATTTTTAATGAATTTATTTGCAAATGATGGTGGAAAATAAGTATTTGGTCACCTACAAACAAGCAAGATTTCTGGCTCTCACAGACCTGTAACTTCTTCTTTAAGAGGCTCCTCTGTCCTCCACTAGTTACCTGTATTAATGGCACCTGTTTGAACTTGTTATCAGTATAAAAGACACCTGTCCACAACCTCAAACAGTCACACTCCAAACTCCACTATGGCCAAGACCAAAGAGCTGTCAAAGGACACCAGAAACAAAATTGTAGACCTGCAGCAGGCTGGGAAGACTGAATCTGCAATAGGTAAGCAGCTTGGTTTGAAGAAATCAACTGTGGGAGCAATTATTAGGAAATGGAAGACATACAAGACCACTGATAATCTCCCTCGATCTGGGGCTCCACGCAAGATCTCACCCCGTGGGGTCAAAATGATCACAAGAACGGTGAGCAAAAATCCCAGAACCACACGGGGGGACCTAGTGAATGACCTGCAGAGAGCTGGGACCAAAGTAACAAAGCCTACCATCAGTAACACACTACGCCGCCAGGGACTCAAATCCTGCAGTGCCAGACGTGTCCCCCTGCTTAAGCCAGTACATGTCCAGGCCCGTCTGAAGTTTGCTAGAGTGCATTTGGATGATCCAGAAGAGGATTGGGAGAATGTCATATGGTCAGATGAAACCAAAATATAACTTTTTGGTAAAAACTCAACTTGTCGTGTTTGGAGGACAAAGAATGCTGAGTTGCATCCAAAGAACATCATACCTACTGTGAAGCATGGGGGTGGAAGCATCATGCTTTGGGGCTGTTTTTCTGCAAAGGGACCAGGATGACTGATCCGTGTAAAGGAAAGAATGAATGGGGCCATGTATCGTGAGATTTTGAGTGAAAACCTCCTTCCATCAGCAAGGGCATTGAAGATGAAACGTGGCTGGGTCTTTCAGCATGACAATGATCCCAAACACACCGCCCGGGCAACGAAGGAGTGGCTTCGTAAGAAGCATTTCAAGGTCCTGGAGTGGCCTAGCCAGTCTCCAGATCTCAACCCCATAGATAATCTTTGGAGGGAGTTGAAAGTCCGTGTTGCCCAGCGACAGCCCCAAAACATCACTGCTCTAGAGGATATTCTGCATGGAGGAATGGGCCAAAATACCAGCAACAGTGTGTGAAAACTTTGTGAAGACTTACAGAAAACGTTTGACCTGTGTCATTGCCAACAAAGGGTATATAACAAAGTATTGAGAAACTTTTGTTATTGACCAAATACTTATTTTCCACCATAATTTGCAAATAAATTCATAAAAAATCCTACAATGTGATTTTCTGGATTTTTTTCCCTCATTTTGTCTGTCATAGTTGACGTGTACCTATGATGAAAATTACAGGCCTCTCTCATCTTTTTAAGTGGGAGAACTTGCACAATTGGTGGCTGACTAAATACTTTTTTTCCCCACTGTAGCTCACATCTGAAGGCTGGGGGGCATTTAGGACGTACAGCGGATCGCTAAAATATCCTAATGATTATGATCACACTTCCTCAATTCAAATATTATGGCGACACTATAGGAAATATGGTTTGGTATGGTTTAGAAACTTGGGAACCAAGCTGGAGTCATCAGTGTGGCCCCCATCACCTGGACATGTTGAAATACTGTACCTTCACGGCTAGAATACAAACCTCCAGGCTTCCGCCATAACTGTATATTTATTTATTTTAAAAAAATAATTACAGGAGGCAGTTTGAAAAAAAAAAACGAATCCCGTCCGAATCATCCTCTGGAATAACGGACATTCTGGAGTAAAAATTACATAACCAATGATCTCTAGTAATACAAGTCCGTGCGAATAGGTATTTGGTCACGTGCATGCGATGCATACATGTGTCACGAGTGGGCAAGGGTTGAGGGAATAGGGAATGTTTTTCCTAAACAAATGAGAGATTTCGGTAACGGAACTTTCCAGTCAGAAATGGCTATAGTTATGTTGGCAGCTTCAGGCCACGGACAGCGCGATAAACACGTTGATGTTCTGTGGTGGTCGCTGCAGCAGGGAGGAGAGAGAGACAACAGGTGCTAGTCACACAGTCACTGTTCTGTCTTCTTTTTTTTTTTTGTCTGAGCCCGGAACGGCACAATCAAATCAAATCAATTGCTGGTCGGGCTCCCTCTAGTCATTTGTGCGTCTTAATTATTTAATTAAAACCGTGTGCTTAAAGCATCAGACAAGCTCAGTGCATATAGTTGATTTGATTAAAACGATTGGTCGAAAAAAGAACAGAAGACTCTTGGTCGACCAATATTTTTTTTTTTTGTCGTGGAAAGAACCAGAGAGAATTGAAGAGTGGAAATGTGTCAGAGAGGGAAAAGGAGAGCGAGAGAGACGGGGAGAAGAGACAGAAATATGCGTGGGTGTTGTTCTGCATCTGTATAAGCCTGAAGCTTATTTTGGCCTACTTTCCCAAACTAGTGAGGAGAGGAAAGGGGAGGGAGAGGAAGGGGAGGGAGGGGGTGAGGGTCGGAGAGAGAGGAAAGGGTGAGGAGGAGAAGGAGGGGGAGGGAGGGGGGTGGGGGGGAGGTCAGGAGAGGACAGGGATGAGAAGAGGGAAAACCACAACACGCTACAATTTTCCCCAATCACAGTTACATAAACCACTAAAACACCATCTAACACCTCTCTCTCCCTCTCCCTCTCTCCCCCTCCCTCCCTCCTGTCTCTCCCTCCTCCCTCCCCTCTCCCTCTCTCTCTCCCTCCTCCCTCGATCCTGACTTCATTTGTCTGTCTGGGTCAGCTCAGATAGCTCCACTTCCTTCATTTCTGTCTGGGTCAGCTCAGATAGCTCCAGTTCATTTGTCTGTCTGGGTCAGCTCAGATAGCTCCAGTTCATTTGTCTGTCTGGGTCAGCTCAGATAGCTCCAGTTCATTTGTCTGTCTGGGTCAGCTCAGATAGCTCCACTTCATTTGTCTGTCTGGGTCAGCTCAGATAGCTCCAGTTCATTTGTCTGTCTGGGTCAGCTCAGATAGCTCCAGTTCATTTGTCTGTCTGGGTCAGCTCAGATAGCTCCAGTTCATTTGTCTGTCTGGGTCAGCTCAGATAGCTCCACTTCATTTGTCTGTCTGGGTCAGCTCAGATAGCTCCAGTTCATTTGTCTGACTGGGTCAGCTCAGATAGCTCCACTTCATTTGTCTGTCTGGGTCAGCTCAGATAGCTCCACTCTACGTGTGTTATTGGTCTTCATTATTCATGTGTTGCTCCATTGTCTTAGTGTGTGTGTGTGTGTGTGTGTGTGTGTGTGTGTGTGTGTGATTCCTGAGCTGCTCTGTAAGGAATTGCTTTGGGGTCTCCCCCCTACATGTGGTTTGCATACTGAGACACACACACACACACACACACACGATTGCCAGGGTAACTCACGTGTGGCGTAGCCCCCAGCAGAGGTTGGCATCTGTCAGTGGTGTGCAGGAGTGATGAGTGACGCCCGCGGCTAGCCGGTAGACGTACGTCCGCGACACAGCGCGGAAACGGGCATGGAACCCACCGGGGACCCGGTAGGCACGGGTGATTCTGGGGGACATCAAATAAACCACGGGTGATTCTGGGGGACATCAAATAAACCACGGGTGATTCTGGGGGACATCAAATAAACCACGGGTGATTCTGGGGGACATCAAATAAACCACGGGTGATTCTGGGGGACATCAAATAAACCACGGGTGATTCTGGGGGGCATAAAATAAACCACGGGTGATTCTGGGGGACAGGTAGTAGGTGTCAACAACTGCAACGCTGCTGGGTTTTTCACGCTCAACAGTTTCCTGTGTGTATCAAGAATGCTCCACCACCCAAAGGACATCCAGCCAACTTGACACAGCTGTGGGAAGCATTGGAGTCAACATGGGCTAGCATCCTTGTGGAATGCTTTCGACAACTTGTAGAGTCCATGCCCCGACGAATTGAGGCTGTTCTGAGAGCAAAACTCAATATTAGGAATGTGTTCCAAATGTTTGGTACACTCAGTGTAGATGCATTAATCATCTGCAGAAACATCCTTGCATAGAAAATATTTTATGAATCCGTTTTTACAACCAACTCCGCTGAAGTGATGACAGTAACCCTAGATTAAGCCTCAGATATTGTGCATTTTGGAAAAGCTAACATGCATAGTTTTGAATGGGTAGTCCAGTGAAATATTCATTTTCTCAAAACCCACAATATTTGAAGGCTTTTCCTGTATGCTGTCTGATTCATGAAATTGAATGATAAAATAACACAGACCCCAAAAACTATCATTCCCGTTCTATCTTCTAAAAATCAATATTTTAACAAGAGGACATTACGAGAGAGAGACTACCGAAGTGGTGGGATTTGAAAGTCTGCCCCCACTCTACCCTCATTCATTCGGGTAAAGTCGGTGTGAAAAAGGCTAGACTAGAGTTCATCCCAGCACAGATGTAACTTTCAGAAACCCCAAAACTCTGCACTTTACAAAGGCCCATGGCCTCACATAGGATAGTTACTAGGACGCCATTTGAGATGCAGACTGTTGAAATGTTAAAAGAGCTTTGAATGTCAGAGAGATGTGATGCGATGGCTTCTGAGTGGCTAGGGCTTATGCTTACACAATTAGCATGATCATAGAATCTAACTGTAGCTTTATTAAGATGACTTTACTGAGGGCAGTGCCATAGAAATATAATTACTAGAATGGCCATCCCCATTCAAGTCAAATGTACCATGATGGTTGGAAATTAACCAATGAGGAGGGGGGGGGGGGGGGGGGGGTTTGCAGTTCTAATAATTACATTTCTATGTGCAGGGCTAACAAGCTGCTCCACCATCCCATTTACATTGTGGTGCGCCCGGGGTTGTCTCTCAGTTGGTAGAGCATGGTGCTTGCAACGCCAGGGTCGTGGGTTCAATTCCGACGGGGGAAAATGTATGCTCTCACTACTGTAAGTCACTCTGGATAAGGGCCGTCGGCTAAATAACTAAAATGTGCGTATTATGCAGATCCTCGTTTTGCATATCATCAGGATTAGTATGAATACATAATGAGTAGGAATAATTCTAACAGCGATAGTAATCCTTTGCATTGAATATCAAAACAGAACTTACTCAATAAATGGGGAGGGTTAGCAACAAGTTATTCAGGTATTTCCTCCCAAAGACAACTTAGCAAAAGTAAACCCAAAGAGGATTCAAAAACAGATCTTGGGTGTAACTGAAGTTTAAAATAGCCTCCCCATATTGGTGCATTACAATTCCCTATTAAACAGTATGTATTTTCTAGTTCACGGCCCTGTTTTGAGGTCAACTCAAAGGTCAATGTTGTGACCAGAGGCAGAAAGGACTAGCCGAGCCCAGAGAACAACCCCAACAAGGACGAATAGCCGAGCCCAGAGAATAACCCCAGTCAGGACGACTAGCCGAGCCCAGAGAATAACACCAGGTCAGCCTAAATTATTCATCAGACCTCAGTAAATCGATGTTAAACAGAGAAGCTGAATATTACATTAAGATGTGCCCTAGCAAGACACCAGAGAGCGCAGTACATGCACACACAGAGCCCCATGGTGAGGAGGAAGACAAGAGGAGAGAGTTGTCCATCTCTCACTGTTTGGGGACTAAGGGAGAAAGAGAGGAGGAAGACAAGAGGAGAGAGTTGTCCATCTCTCACTGTTTGGGGACTAAGGGAGAAAGAGAGGAGGAAGACAAGAGGAGAGAGTTGTCCATCTCTCACTGTTTGGGGACTAAGGGAGAGAGAGAGGAGGAAGAGGAGAGAGTTGTCCATCTCTCACTGTTTGGGGACTAAGGGAGAAAGAGAGGAGGAAAACAAGAGGAGAGAGTTGTCCATCTCTCACTGTTTGGGGACTAAGGGAGAAAGAGAGGAGGAAGACAAGAGGAGAGAGTTGTCCATCTCTCACTGTTTGGGGACTAAGGGAGAAAGAGAGGAGGAAGAGGAGAGAGTTGTCCATCTCTCACTGTTTGGGGACTAAGGGAGAAAGAGAGGAGGAAGAGGAGAGAGTTGTCCATCTCTCACTGTTTGGGGACTAAGGGAGAGAGAGAGAGAGAGGAGAGAGTTGTCCATCTCTCACTGTTTGGGGACTAAGGGAGAGAGAGAGGAGGAAAACAAGAGGAGAGAGTTGTCCATCTCTCACTGTTTGGGGACTAAGGGAGAAAGAGAGGAGGAAAACAAGAGGGGAGAGTTGTCCATCTCTCACTGTTTGGGGACTAAGGGAGAGAGAGAGAGAGAGAGGAGGAACATGTTTTTACAGGAGACAGAGAGAAGAGTGTTTTGTTTTAAATCTTCAGACTGACTAGGTCTGCGTCGCTGTGGGTGCTTCAGTATGAGTGATGTTGTGTGGGTCTGTTCATGCTTGTGTGGGTGAGTATGTGCAGTTGGGCATACATGTATATGTGTGCATTCACGGTATAGTATACTGTGTGTGTGTGTGTGTGTGTGTGTGTGTGTGTGTGTGTGTGTGTGTGTGTGTGTGTGTGTGTGTGTATACACTATATATACAAAAGTATGTGGACACTCCTTCAGATTAGTGGATTTGGCTATTTCAGCCACACCCGTTGCTGACAGGTGTATAACGTCGAGCACACAGCCGTGCAACCTCCATAGACAAACATTGGCAGTAGAATGGCCCGTACTGAAGAGCTCAGTGACTTTTAACGTGGCACCGTCATAGGATGCCACCTTTCCAACAAGTCAGTTTGTCAAATTTCTGCCCTGCTAGAGCTGCCCCAGTCAACTGTAAGTGCCATTATTGTGAAGTGGAAACGTCTAGGAGCAACAACGGCTCAGCCGCGAAGTGATTGGCCACACAAGCGCTCAGAACAGGACCGCCGAATGCTGAAGCGCGTAGGGTGAAAAAATCGTCTGTCCTCGGTTGCAACACTCACTACCGAGTTCCAAACTGCCTCTGGAAGCAACGTCAGCACAAGAACTGTTCGTCAATCTGGCAGTCCGACGGACAAATCTGGGTTTAGCGGATGCCAGGAGAACACTACCTTTCCGAACGCATAGTGCCAACTGTAAGGAGGAAATCTTAATGCTACAGCATTCAATTACATTCTAGAAGATTCTGTGGTTCCAGCTTTGTGGCAAAAGTTTGGGGAAGGCCCTTTCCTGTTTCAGCATGACAATGCCCCCAGTGCACAAAGCGAGGTCCATACAGAAATGGTTTGTCGAGATCGGTGTGGTAGAACCTGGCTGGCCTGCACAGCGCCCTGACCTCAACCTCCATCGAACACCTTTGGGATGAATTGGAACTCCAACTGTGAGCCAGGCCTAATCGCCCAACATCAGTGCCCGACCTCACTAACGCTCTTGTGGTTGAATGGAAGCAAGTCCCCGCAGCAATGTTCCAACATCTAGTGGAAATCCTTCCCAGGCGTCCACATACTTTTGGTCATGTAGTGTATGTCTCTACCCTATGTGTGCTGTATCGAGGACTCAGGTAGACTGAAAAACTAGGTTATGTTTCCCGGGGAAGAGATTGAGTGTGACACCTCCCAGAGGCAGCTCCTTTGTCTACCGT